TCTTGAAGATCCATTAACATCAATAACTACATTGATAGATAAAATTGGAGAGTTTGTGAAAGTGGTTGGTTTGAAAATTAATAAAGACAAAACGAAGATTTTGACTAAAAATACGTTGGTAAAGCAAAAAGAAGAATTGGCAGATATATCAAAGATGCAGATCACAAATAAAGTCAAATATTTGGGGATACACTTGACAGCAAGATGTAGCACACTTAAAGAAAATAATTATAATAAACTTAAACAACAGATAGGGACAGATTTGGCGAAATGGGAAAATTTACAGCTTTCTTTGATTGGAAGGATATCAACTATTAAGATGAATATTTTGCCTAGAATTTTATATTTGTTCCAGACTATTCCAATTAGATTGGGGAAAGATATTTTTGAAGAATTGAATAAAATAGTGTTAAAATACATTTGGCAGGGAAAGAAGGCGAGGATAAAATTTAAGTTGCTACAAGATGCTAGAATGAGAGGGGGCTTTGGATTACGTAACTGGGAACTCTATTACCAAGCGACAAGTTTGATATGGATTAAAGAATGGATAACGTTAAGAAATACTAGATTATTGAATCTAGAAAGTCATGATTTGTTGATGGGGTGGCATGCTTTTTTATGGTACAAAGGAACAAAAATACAGGGGTATTTTAAAAGACATCATATACGTGAGGCTTTTTTATTAAACTGGGAGATGATTAAAATTCCAGTCTGGGTATCAACGATTGAAGCATTTTCATATTCAGTAGTATTTAGAAGGAAACAAATTGTTAGATATAGTGAATTAATAGATGAAAAGGGTGAATCGAGGCAAGAATTGGAAGAACAAAGTTTTAAGATGGATTGGTTTTCTTATTTGCAAATACATTCTAGATATGAAGAAGATTCTAAACAAGAAGGTTTTTATAATGTCTTGACTAATTTAGATAAGATTTTAATGGGTTCTGATGACTATGTAATTAAAAAATTGCATGGTTATTTACTAGAGGTAAAATTGGAAGAAGAACAAGTTAAAGAAACAATGATAGCATGGGGCGGAAATTTTGGCCATGGGATTGATTTAGAGAAATGGCAAAAATTGTGGTTGCAAAATTATAAAATGACAATGTCTACAGCATATAGAGAGAACTTGTATAAGATGTTTTACAGGTGGCATCTACCCTCAACGAGAATAGCCAGAATGTTCAAGAACAAATCGGAGAAATGTTGGAAATGTCATCAGACTCCAAGATCATATTACCATATGCGCAGAAGCTAAAAGATATTGGACTAAAATCCACACATGGTTGGAAAAAATGACAAAGAAACACATAGACTTTAAACCAGAGATATTTTTATTAGGGACTTTACCAGAAATGTACAATAGAGAACTGAGATATTTAATTGTGAATGTTTTAACAGCAGCTAGAATTGTATTTGCTAAAAATTGGAAAGGAGAGAAGATACCTACTGACGATGAAGTTATTAAGAAAATTATGGAATGTGCTGAAATGAGTAAATTGACATTTGAAATTAGAGAACAGGAAGACAAACAATACTATTTGATATGGGATTTGTTTTACCAATGGCTAGACAATAAAGCATGGAGATGAAGTATGAAATATTAAATTAAGGTAATGATAAAATATATGAAATGTTTTCTTATGGGAGTTAAGCCTTTGTTAAATAATTGTTAAATGAGAATAATAATATAAAGGGATATATAAAGTTGTCAAATAAGAGAAATTAAATAATTTGTAATTTTGGATATGGGATTATGCACAAAAGAATCTTAACCGATCGACACACTTTCTGTGATTGTATTGAATGATGGTGTTTTTATGTTTAAAAATAAAAAATAAAAAAAGAAGAAGAAAGGTACTGGAGGAGAGGGCAGAGGTCCTGCTCATAGCACCACACTGGCCCAGATGGCCATGGTTTGCAAATCTGGTCAACCTGTCAGTGGCCAGACCGTGGAGGATCTCCACGGACAGAGTATCTCTCAGCCAGGGGGATCTACTACACCCAGAACCGCAGTGGCTTCAACTGACCATCTAGCACTTGAACGGGCTAGATTAGATCAGCTCAAGTGCCCCGCCAGGGTTATTCAGACAATACAGGCCTCTAGAAGGCCTTCAACCAACAGGATCTATGATGCCACATGGAGAGCATTCTGTGGTTGGCGTGATAAGACACATATCGAACCAACCACATTATCAGTGATACAAATTCTAGTATTTCTACAGGAAGGTCTGGACAAAGCCCTGTCTCCCAATACATTACGTAGACAGGTAGCGGCGATAGCAACAGTCTTGGGCAGCGGGAGGTTGGTGCACAACTTCCTCAGAGGAGTAACAAATCTAAAATCTCCAGTGGTTCATAGATATCCAACATGGGAACTGACAAAGGTCCTGAGAAGATTAATGGTAGAACCGTTTGAACCATTATTCTCCACCAGCTTAAGCTTCCTCACCTGGAAGGTGGTCTTCCTCGTGGTAATTACTTCCACCAGATGAATATCTCAATTGGCAGCCTGTTCCATAAGAGGATCTATGCATATTTCACCCAAATAGGGTAGTGTTGCGGCTAGATCCCACCTTTCTACTGAAGGTGAATTCCACCTTCCACAGGGCACAGGAGATAATACTGCTGGATTTCTGTCCGAAGCCGGTACACAAGTTAGAAAAGAAGTGGCACTCTCTGGACGTTAAAAGGCCGATACGCATCTACCGTATTTTTCGGAGTATAAGATGCAGCTTAGTTTTTAAGGAGGAAAATAAGAAAAAAGCTGATTGGTGGGTGGATTGCCCTCCTGGAATACCCCCAATCAGCTGTTCTCAGAGGTGAATTTTAGCAACAGGTTCGTTGGTTGTGAACTCTGTGCCTTGCTTTTTTTTCTGCCTCTGAAACTTCTGAAACTCTGTTTCAGAAAAAACTTTTTTTTCTGCCTCAGCTTTTTCTTTCAAAGGCTTTTTTTCTGAAGCTTCTTTCAGAGGCTTTTATTCTGAAGGGCTATCTGTACTCTGTTCAATCTTCTTTCTTTGGTATTGGTATATAGATTAACCTCTTCCCATCTATTGGTTATTGTGTCATTCTCCAGATTTGTCAGCATAGTTTGGTTAGAACCTTTACTGAGTCTTCTTTTGTTGCTTGCCATATTATTTTAGATAAAAGCCCTTCAGAGGTTTTTTTTCTGAAGCTTCTTTCAGAGGCTTCTTGAAATCTCTGTTTGTGAGGCTGGGTGGGGCTACATTCAGAGTATAAGATGCACCCAGATTTTCACCCTCTTTTTTGGGGGGGAAATATGCATCTTATACTCCGAAAAATATGCTTTCTAAAGAGAACGGCTTCTATCAGGAAGATGGAACCAATGTTCATTTCAATTAGGCCGAGCTCATTGGGCAACAAGATTTCACCATTGACAATAGATCGGTAGATTCAAGCATGCATTACTAAGACCTTTGAACTGCAGTCGTTGCCACTGCCTGGACGAGTGACGGCCCACTCAACATGGAGTGCGGCTACAACGGTGGTGTGGAATACTCAGGCTTCCATCAAGAACATCTATAGAGCGGCAATGTGGTCTTCTCTGTCGTCGTTCATCAAACACTACAAGCTGGACGCTTTTGCTTCAGCAGAGGCAACCTTTGGTAGGATAGTACTTTAGAGAGTACATATGGTGGCGGGGACCCAGGACCAAACCTTGCCCCACCCTTAGGATAGCCAGCTTTGGTATTTCCTATAAATTGTATTATCCTATCAGCATAATGGAGAAAGAGAGCTGGTCTTACCTGAATGCTTCTTCTCGTCATGCTGAAGGATAATACAATCCCACCCTGAAGACTGTCAGGTCCTAGGTCTGGAAGTGATCAGTAACAGCACTGAAGAACTCCGAAAGTCAATCAATCAGACTTCGTCAAAACTGGGGAGGCGCAGTAGAAGAAGGCAGGACTAAAGAAATGATTGACTCAGCTTCAAGCAAGGAAGTAGAAGAACCACCCATGAATTGATTATCCTTCAGCACGACGAGAAGAAGTGTTCAGGTAAGACCAACACTCTTTCTATTCTCTGCAAAAGATTTGATTTTTAGCCAATTTTCTATCCTTATCTCTCTTGCTTAGGGCTAGGATGAACAGAAATATAAGCATAGTACAAAAATTTAAAAATAGTATATAGTTTGAATAATAACCATTTTTTAAAATTGCCAATACCAGTTTTGCCCATACCTTATTATTGCACCAGCAGCTTCATTTGTGCTATTTGGGTTTTAAACTGAAGCACACTATTTGTGTTAAGGGAAGGCAAGTGCAAAATTCTTTCCCTACTATGTACAAACTTGTAAGAAAGAAAAAGTGCCAAGATCAGTTAATAGCCGAAGCTATTTTAAATGTACACAGAAATTAACTAGTGTGCTTTCTATAAAATATTTAAGAACAAAGAAATAATAGATTAATAGATTAATAGTTAATATGAAATGCATTTCCTGAGCTGGATAGTGGGAAATATAATACATATTAGTTAGAATTAACAATAAAAGAAGAATTTGTAAAAGAACTTAATCTGTGAACATACGCATATTACCATATATCAGCAAAACCAGAAGATGTAACCATAGTTCACTCAATAATTTCAACAAAGTATGAAAGATTTGTGCTACTAATGTATGTATGTTTGTGTAACATCATTCTAAAATAATGTTAGTGCTAGACACACCTATTATTTTGGGCAACATATCCAGATTTCTGTGAAATCATGCAGGACTATATTGTGCATGTGCACATATGTTTCACATCAACAATTTGTAATTAGGCTACAGTTATCACAAAGAATAATCTTTTTTAAAAAAGTTCATTTTTCTAAAGGGTAAATCAGACTGTTGGAGGCCAAAACTGTGCACATGAAAAAGAAGCAAAATGGAACATTTATAATTATCACTACTAACACTGATAACAGCCACACATTTCCAAACCAAGCTTTAGTATTTGGTGTTTTAAGTAGTATAGATATTTTTTAAAGATTACCTGATTCGTTTATCTTCCATTTTTTTCAAATATTCATCTCTTTTTAATACTCCCAATATTGTCTCTCTTTCATGCTCTAATAAAAATGATAGATTGATTATTTCTGCATTGTTAGACATGTTCCTTCAATTGTTATATTCTTTAATAGATGAGTTTTCTGGCAGACAATAAGATGCAGAGGTTAAGAGCACATCATTGGAAACATCCAAGTGCTACAGTTTCTTGTCAGGAGCTAATTCATATGTTTCAGATTTTGGTCATTTTAGTGATTTGAATGTTCACTGGAATTTTTGCTTGATCTTCTGAACATGCTGTGAACTTCTTTTATAGACTATCCTCAAGTTAATAATTGCCCTGAATCGTTTTACCTGAAATGAAAACAACAAAATTAAAAATTAAAATTAAATATACATTTACTTAAGCTGTTTCTTGAATGAATTAATGTTTTAGTAATTTCAAGACAGTAACAAATGCCCACCTGTTTGTACAACTGGAATATTTAATTAATAGAAATAACAACTGAAATTGAATGACAATTAAAAACAAAATAGCTAGGGAAGTTATTTCAACAATTGAACATATGTCTGACTGCATCATTCTGGACCTGCCGAAGAGAATCTTTTACATGACTCTAACTAGATTTCTCATTCCCAGGAACAGACTCAGTTGGAATACTTGTTTTAACTGAACAAACTCATTCCTAGCTAATACTGACCCTTGAAATTGAACAAGGAATCCCAAGACACTTGGATTCAGGTTGACAGCCGTTCAACTGAGATATGACTCTCAGTCTTCACAAAGATAACTCTGTCTAACAGAGGTTAAATCATATTTCCTGATCTTCCATCTGATTAAATAGGATTACAATATTTCTGTCTCCTCTAGACAAACTTCAGTTTGTTTGGCAGTTTTCAACACTGATTTAGAACTTAATCAGTTCTCTTGATTATAACTGAAAAAAGAAATACGAGTGTCATTAGCATGGTACCTATTACATACCACCAATGCTTTTATATATGCACTACAGGGTGGATTTTGTTTGAGTTCATGAAATTCAAGTATTATCTGGGAAGATGAAACCACAGATTTTGTATATCCACAACAATACTGAATCTATAGTTCATGGACAGTCTCTTTCAGTACTATGTAAAAGCTAAATATTAGAGGAGAAGATAGTTGCCTAAGGAACATTACAAGCTAACAGATTTTGGATGAATGGGAATCTCCTAGCACTACCTTTTGAAATTATTCCTGCAACCTAACAAAAGCCATTAAGAAGTCAAATAGAACCAAGAGAACTATGTTTGCTTTGTCGAGTTCTTTAAGATTATTCAACTAGTCTTTCTCCCATAAAAAGCCTTAAAGCCAGCTTGAAATAGATCTAGGTGAATTACCTAGATGTCACCCATTTTCATCCAATGTCATCCACTTTCCTAGAATACTATAGAGCTATAATACTCTACTATACACTTCAAGATCTTGCCAAATATTATAATAATGAATTCTGTTAAAAACCTAATAATTTAGAGTACAAAATTTCACCACTACATTTGTATAAATAAAAAAAATCATTCTATATCAGAAAGACACATTCATCATTTGCTATTGAGTGTGTTCTCCCCAGCCAGCAAGGGTCAAGTACAGTATGATATAATACAACTCACCTGTCCATATTCTCATGCTACATACATTATGAGTTATCTATTTTAGCTGGACAAGAACAGACCAAATTTGCATCCAATGAATCTATAGGATATGCAGATCAGTCTGACTTGAACTGGATTTTGAAAATTAACATTACAGGTAGTAATTATGACCACAATTGAGCCCAAAATTTGTGTTGCTAAGTAAAACGTTTATTAAGTGAGGTTTGCCCCATTTTATGACTTTTCTTGCCACAGTTCTTAAGCGAATCACTGTAGTCATTAAGTTAGTAACATGGTTGTTAGGTGAATCTGGCTTCCCCATTGATTTTGCTTGTCAAAAGGTTGCATAAGCTATATACATATTGCAGTTGTCATAAATATGAACCAGTTGCCAAGCATCTGAATTTTGATCATGTGACCATGAGGATGCTGCAACAGTCGTTAAAAATGGTGAAAAATGGTCATAAATCACTTTTTTCAATGCTGTTGTGACTTTGAACAATCACTAAATGAACTGTTGTAAGTCAAGGACTATCTGTATTTAAAATTTAAAGGCCACAAGACTCAAGATTTGATTTGAAGATGATGGAAAAGCATCCAAACTTCTGCATTTTTGTGGGCTTCTGCACATGTGTGGGTTGGCACTAGTGGATGAAACTAGTAGGCATGGTAGATCTTTCCAAAGAAAGTAATTTTGCAGTTTCAACCTTTTTATAATATTTTTCATAACTTTCATAAGTGGGGAGAGGAGGCAGTATACTATGGGGAGAAGTGAAGTTGTCCCAGATTTGTTTCTCTGCACAGCACCTTGCTGCCCTGCCTTCCTTGGGAGGGGGCACACTCCACAGAAAGACAAAGTGGCTTGCAACTTTCCCTGCTGGATAGTCAGAAGTAAGTTCCCTCCCTTCCTTGTTGACTTTCTGAAGAAGCCAGCAGGGAAGATTGCAAATGGTGGTCACATGATCACGGAAGGCTTGGCTATCCATCATAAGTGCAAACAAGTTGCCAAGAGCCCAGATTGCAATTAAGTAACCGTGGGGCTGGTGCAACAATCTTAAGTTTGAGCATCTGCCGTAAGTCCTTTCATTCAGCACCTTTTTAATTTTGAACGGTCACTGAACAAACAGTCATAAGTCAAGGACCACCTGTAAATTATTCTTGAAAAGTCCAATAGCAGTACTTTCATCAAATACAGCATTGATTTTTCAGAAACAGAATGGGACTGAATACTCAAATTTAAGCAGTAAGGATGGTAGATCAACAGGCTTTGAATAAATCATTATATCTAACAACTGACACTGAAATTTCCCTTATTTTGTTCCTAACGATCAAGAGCAGCACAGTAACTTAGCATCCCAGTATAATAACACATACTTCAGTCTGATTTGTTGAGATTATAAAAGTACTTTAAGAAGCAAAGAAAAAAGTATTGTTCAATTACATCATTCTAGAATAAACCTTTGATGATTTTACAGAGTGAAATGGTTTCTTATGCTATATTTCAAACAGAAATTACAGAAATTTATTACGTGGGAACATCTCAGTTTTATTCATTGCTCCAACAGGAAGTTAAAGTAACAGCTACTATGTTAAACAAATGGCCTAATCAAACCTCACTTCTTACTCTTATGTTCCATGATAGCTTGAAAAAGAGAAATATACAATTACAGGAGTCTATGAATGTATGCTTTTAAATGAGAATATTTGTGCAAATGGCATTCAGATTAATCAAGCCTTACCATATCCAGGGTATAATAGCTGAACTGTTCCTTGTAAGCAACTTTACAGAGTACTGATACCGATTACTCTATCCATTAACCTGAAAAACCAGCTGTTCTTCTATCAGAAAACTATTTGCACAAAACACACACCCAGTATGTATGATGCAATATTTATCAGCAGCAGCCAATTATCAAAGTACAAGGAAATACCTGCAGCACTAACCCTATTAATTTCCAAAGGAAAAAGGAAAATCTGTCTTGCATTATAAAAAACTAAAATGAGTATGTGAAGTGCCTGCCTTTTAAGAATAATTATTGACTATCATTTCTAATCACTTAAGATTATTTTATGACTATCTCTGTGTAAGGATAAATAACTAACCACCAATCACTCACAGATTGTCCTACTTCCTCCTAGGATCTAATATATACTGTACATTGTGATCAGAATTGCTGAAAGTATAAGATTTAAGAAACAGATTTGTCATACCAAGTTACAGCACTATCTCTTCTTCTAGTATTTCTCATATTAATTAATATTGTTTTCCCACTGGCATCTTAAATTCTGGGTATTATAATTCAATATATCCAGAGGGCAACAGATCAGAAAAAGCTAATTTTATTATTGCAGTTGTTGCACAGTCAGCCAGATTTTTAGACTGGATTTGACATTTTTACCCATCTATCAAGTCCTTCCCAAGGACCTGGAATAAGCTGTTGTTCAATGAATTCAAGGTATTGTGGATGTAAGCTGTTGCAGTAAAACTGCCTTTTTCAATTGACTGATGGTGATTTTGTTAATGCTGATGGTGTTCAAGTTGTGCTCCAGATGTTTTGGCATCAGCCATATGATTCAATTAACAACTGCAGTGATTTGCTTAATAACGATGGCAAAAAAGGTAATAAAGTCAGGCATGAATCATTTAACAAGTGGCTTGCTTAGCAACAGAAATTCTGGTCCAGAACGGGGAGGCAGGGGGGAGGTGTGGCCAGCGTCGTGGCATGACAGCAGGTTTTTTCAAGGCTCTGGAAAAACTGCTGATATCTCAGCTGATCGGGGGTCTTAATTGACCTAAGCCATCTCGTAGGGACGGCGAACATGAGAAGCATGAACTGAGTAACTCACGGAATCCGCAAATTCCCGGGTTGATCAGAAGTAGCTTCTTGAACCGGACATCTGAGAAAGTGGCCATAGGAGCCACTAAGAAGCTGGGGTAGTCGCAACAGAGTGGTTAAATCGAGAGGAAGCGCATCATCTGGGTGAGAACTTGGCTTTACAGATAAAAGTTTTTCTTTTCATACCCACTTGGAATGAATATAGAGTGGAAAAGTGGCTAAAGCGAGGAGGGAGAGCGGGTGTGTATCGGCTCTCCATTTCTGGTATTGAATCGGCAAGGAAAGTGAAAGCCCAAAGGGGGGGAGGTTCCCCCCCGAATGAATTAAATGAATTGAAATACTGATTGAGAATTGGTCTAAAAGACTGGACTTGAAATTAAGAAGAGTTAGAAAATTGACTGATTATTTGGAGAAAAATGGAAGAATTATAAAGGAATTTAAAGTAAAGAGAAATGGATTAAAGAATTGAAGCTTGGAAATGTATAGTTTTGTTATATTTCAGTGCCATCTAGTGGCAAAAAGAAAAGGCTTTAAAAAGATTTTGAATTAATTATAAAACTTAAATTTGACCTTGACAACGCTGGTTGTACTGATAAGAAAACAGATGTTGAAAAGAGAAAGACATACTGGAAAGGAATGAAGAGATTAGAGTGCTGAATTTGTTTTTACTTCTTGAGCTTTTATTTTTCTTATTTTTCTGTTTGTCTTTTTGAGCCTTTTGAAGTACATTGTTTTGGAATTGGTGTTTTGGGAAAAAAAATTCTTCTATTTTTTTCCTTGTCTATTATTTGGTGGTGGAACAAAGTCTGGATAAAAACTTTTCCTTTTGTCCCTTTTTTTTTCTTCCTTTTTTTTTCTTTTTCTCTGAGTGAGCGAAGAAAAATA